CTTCTGATGTTATAATTTCGTTTGTGATGCCACAGTTATATTTAATTTATTTGAAAACATTGTACTTTAGTGGAAAGTACAATGTTTTTATTCTGAGAAATAATTTGATAGAGAAAAACATGTTCAGAACTATTTGTAAATTTTATCCGTATTTTTGAGAGTTCGTATTGTTATTTGGTAGAGAGCATACTTGAATTGCAGGTAGTCACTTTTGTTACTTGTCACTAACTTGTCATGGTAACTGTGAGGAAGTAATGTCATTGTTGTTGATTGGTCAGTTTTCCTAGGTTCAAAATTATAGATGCAATAGCCACTGCACAGATTGTCTTTAGAGTCAAGTGGGGTTGTATATGTGAAAGCACTTTGATAACAAATCATTATAGGTTTGGGAAAAGATTTTTAAATACTTTGTTTTGCTTACCTCCCTGTATAATCCATATTGTGCTTGTCCCAGAGTAGACAATCAATACATGTTAATTGACGGAATAAATATACGTATATGTTTTCTTGAGTGAATGATGTTTTTAAAAGATGTTTGAAGAAGTTAACTTAAAATTGAATGGTTGGTTGCCATAAGTAAACAAATACCTTTAAAAAATTTTTGTAAATATCGTTAGGAAAATATGCCATTCTTGGGGCCAATCCTGTGGTGTAGTGGTTGAGTTTGGTGTGTTCCACTCTGGTGGCCCAGGTTCACGGGTTCAGATCCCAGGCAGGGACTTAGACCACTTGTCATGCCATGCTGTTGCGATGACCCACATGCAAAATAGAGCAGGATTGGGATGGATGTTAGCTCAGGGCCAGTCTTCCTCAAGCAAAAAACGAGGAGGATTGGCAATGGATGTTAGCTACAGGCCAGTCTTCCTCACAAAATAAAAGGGAAAAAAGAAACTATGCCATTCTTTCTCGTTTTTCCTCCCATAAGGGATGATTTTGGGCAGTGTTGATGCTTGATTTGTTTGGGAATTGAAACTTGACCATCTAAACAAAAAGTGTCAAAAAACGTCAAGATAAAAGGATAATCTTAATGCGTGAGTCCTTCTTATTAATGGCAGTCCATAGGAAACATACGTTAATGAATAGGGAAGAATATTTATTATAATTTTAATTACTCATGTGTAGGTGCTTTCATAATGTTTAAGTTCAAGTTGTTTTTAAGATGACTTGACAGCATCTCTCTATTGACTTACAATATTAGTTTGCTTAGTCTGTTCTTTATTAGTTATTTCATGCTTCATCTTTGTTCTTTCATTCACCCACACATTCATTGTTCCATATTTGTTGAGCATCTCTTATGTGCCAGGCACTGTCAGTGTGCTTTACTGAATATGCTATTGAATGAGGTAAAAGATGTGAAAATGTTTGTAAGTTGTAAAATGACATTCCAATGCAATTATTATCATCATCAAATTCTCAAATAGTTCTGAATGAAAGTACCTTTAGTGTAACTGCTTCCTGTAACTTCTGAGTTGAATCTGCCAAGAATTTTGTGTGAAGTTTTTTATAAGAATGGGAAAAATTAGATTATCCAACAATGAAATGTTTAATGTGATAGGCTCAAAAGAAAATTAAACCAGATTTTGTCTGTTATAGCTCATTGAATAGAAGGCATTTCTGGGGAAGTTAGACCGTAGAGGGGGTGAAGTTCAGCCTACTTTAGGGAAGCAGATTACAGAGGTGAAGTCCAGCTTGTCGTTTTGCAGACGTGTCTTTAGTAACATGGAAGGCTGAGTGGGAGAGAGCTGATGGCTGGTGCAAGAGCGCTGCCGCAGTGGGAAATTGAAGCCCGCTTGAGAGTCAAGAGCATTGTTCTTATATACAGAAGACAACATTTACTTCTAGCCTATTGAGCATAATTCTAGAGTAGTATGCATTTGCACATCTTTTATGTTCAAAGAATGTATCATTTTAGCCAATAGACCCAGGAGCAATTTTAAAGCTGAAAATTAGGATTGTGGGTAGGATTTGGTAACATTTTAAGATGCAAATGGATGAAGCCATCTCTGTAACGCATGGGTTCACTGGCCCTGATGAAGATTCTAAATTTTGTTCTCTCCATTTAACATACATTTTAACAGTTTACCCTAAATATATAAGCACTAATAAACATTTTTATCTAAAAAACTAGTTTTTTGAAAGTTTCATTATAAAACAAGATTCATTGATTTTGAGTTGATCTGGATATTTCAGTATATTGTTTTGTGCTGAAGAGGCAGTGCTGGAGGAAAGAGCATGTGCCTGCTTCTCTTGCCTTGGTCCTCTTGTCAAGTAGCTTCGTGAGCCTTGGCAAGTCACTTCATCTGCTTTGACCTCTTTTTCCTCAACTGTAAAATGAAGGTCCCTTCAGGTTTAAGATTCTAAAAATGAAATGTTCACTTAAAAAAATAGAATCAATTTTGAAAATATTTTTGTTTTTCTAGTGTTCTTTATAAGGATATTGTAATGCAAGTTATTTTAATAGAGTATATGTTTTATATATGTTTATTGGATATGTATTCTTTTTTGGTTATTACTAAGTATTGATCCCTGATCTCTTCCATTTCTAATCCCCAAAATACCAAGATATGAATTTTCCTTTACCCCGATTATATAATTTCATAGTCAGAAAGCAAGAATGGCTCTAGGAGCTGTGAAGCCCCTTGCTGCGAGTATGACCGAAGAGCAGGTCTACAGCCAGTTCTTCTGAAGACATCGTTTTGCACTAGTGTTCCTGATGTTTAACTTCCTTATAATTCTTTATGTGGTATAAAGAGTTAAGCCTTTCACTTATCTAGTTCTATATTGTGTAGCCAGTTGACCATGTTGAGTTCTTCAGAAAGTTATATAAATCAAATTAAAGTGATGTTTGGATTCTTTTCTCAAGATTTTTCTTTTTTCCCCTATTTTTAATGGTGAGATGGGTCTTGTTTTGGATTCTGTGGCATTTCCTAGGGTCATTTCTCAAAGTGTGTTCCTCTGGCTATCAATACATGTTCCTAAAGAAAAAAAGGGCCACGTGTGTTCAAATAAGTTTGCGATTTGCTGAGATAAATAAGATTATACATATTTTGTACCTTCAGTGTGTTAATAGTGACATTTCAAGAGAAAGGCATGGTTTGTATAATTTCCCAAACTTATTTAGCCAAAGAAGTTCTTTTCTTTTTTCATCTTTCTTTTTCTTCACTTTTTCTGGACTTTCTCTTAGTATTTTTGTCTAACATATTTTGGGATGATACACCCGGATTCTAATACCCCTTTTGACTCTGCAGTAGCAGACGATGATTCTGAGGACAGCTTCGGCCCTGCCTGGAGCTGCTGCCCTCAGCCCCGTGCCACGTGAGTGGGGCGGTCTTCTGTTCAGCCACACAGATGCTGTCAGGCTTTCCTGAGAGCATGTTAGTCTTGATTCCTGGCTGCTGAGTGATGAGGTTCTGTACTTTATTTGCGTGGGAAAAAGAGCTGCAATTCAGTTCAGTGCTAGCTGGACAGTCTGCCTTGGATTTACTGCTGTGTGCTATTTACGAAAACCCAGTTTGAGAAAACAGTATAGTTATATAGTCCTTCCATCTATTTTCCTGGTCATCTAAAATTTATGCCTGTGTTCTTGGACCGCATAATGCTGGGGTACCTGGACCACATTTTTTGGATCCTTTTCTGTGGAAATGCTTTAACTCAATTTTATCTTGGCATTTTCCTTTTTCAGTTGAGAGGGACAATAAGAAATAGCCCTGGAAAACTCATTGCTGTATATATGTGAGGATATTTTGGGGACTTGGTTTGTTACACTACGAGGTATTTTATGAAGACCCATGGGATAAATTTAGAGTTTTGTCCCAGGAAGAATTGTATTCTTTTGAGCACTTCTTTTTTTTTTTCTTTTAAAAAATATTTATGGATAGTGTAAATACTGAAACTGATTGTGTTTTTTTATTTGCATTGCTTCCTGAAAGCATCATGCTAAATTTGTGGCCTGTGTTTCACAAATACTTAGACTGTTACTCTGGCTTCTTTTTATTTTTATTTATTTATTTATTTATTTTTTAAACTTTTTTTTTTTTATTGAGTTGTTGATAGGTTACAATCTTGTGAAATTTCAATTGTACATTAATGTTTGTCAGTCATGTTGTAGGTGCACCTTCTTTTTATTTTTAAGGCAGTGTAGTTTGGAGTTAAGAATGCAGGCTCTGCAGTTGACAGCCTGGCTTTAGCTCTTGGCTCCATCATTCATGAGCTGTGTTGAAGTCGGGCAGTCTGCTTACTCTCTGTGAGCCTCAGTTTCCCCATGCAGGAAATGGACTTAATAATACATACTCTTATAGGGTTGTTGTGAATATTACCTGAGAATAATAGATATAAGCAGCTATGATATTCTTGACACATCTGGAACACTCTATACTTTTTTCCGCTTTCATATTCCCTTTATTTCATTTTGTCTACTATAAAAAATAATTGATTTTATGTTATTTATAATATTTTATTTTTCGTAATCTACCTAAAATATTTCTTGGAACAAGGCAGAGTAAGTGTACATAAATGTTGGTTTCTTAATTCATTGTATTTTACATCAATACAGCCATTAAAAGCATTCACAGTCGCTTTGCCATAACTGTTTCTGAATTTACAGGGATTTTGAAACTAGGCATACATGAAGATTTACTTTTAGTTCACTTAACTTTCATTTTCTTCCCTTCTCACCTCAAGCACACATCACCCGTTTTTCTGTGTTATTTGTGTAGATGTGACAGTGGTTTTCTTAAGACATTTTTTGTTGAAGCCTCTTAGGTTAAAAGTTTCACTATCATTTGAAATCCGTCACAAGACCAGGGGAGTGCATTCATTATAGAAGTATTTAATAAATAAGTTCTCCAGTTTGAAGAGCAAGACTTTTATGTGAGGTCAGGCCAGTTGAAGACATTTACAAAGAATTAGTTGTTTGTTATTGCTATGTGAGTTGCAAGAATGGAAAAAAAAGAAATTCTTTCTTCAATACTTCCTTCCAGGCTGAGTCATCACTAGAGAGTGGGAAGGGCAGCAGCAGCAGAGAATCCAAACCCCAAAGCTGCTATCACAAAGCACCAGTTCTCCAAGTTGGGGCTCAGAGGGGAGCCATCATGAGCGATGTTACCATTGTGAAAGAAGGTTGGGTTCAGAAGAGGGGTAAGTGTCCCACAAAGCTGAGAGTAACGTGCTGGGTAAGTGTGCTGACAGTTAGTGGTGGCCTGGAAGGGGATATTTTTTCTGATGCTGTTAACAAAGTGAACTGTGACATACTATGTCCAGTAAGAGAGAAAGGATATTTAACATATGCATTAGAAATTTGCTTGTTATTTAGTGATTCTTTATAATTCTTGATTTTGATTGTTTATAATCAAAGTTGTAAAAGTTTGGCTTTCTGGTGTGTTGTGTGCATGCATGTTACAGAAAGTTTGTGTTGTGATTTTTTGTGTTTTCCACAGATTCTACAATCCAGAAAGATGTCTTTAGAATGATTTAATATCTAGAAAAGTGTCTAACTTGGATGCGTTTAAAGATATATAGATGTGTAAATAGAAGTATTCAATTATGTTAAGCCTGTTTGAGTGGTGACAGGGACGGGCTCACCCACAAGCTCATGGATTCGACAGTCCCCTAAGTTAGGGAAGTGAGGTCCTCAAGTAAAAGACCAGATGAGGAGAGGCTTTTCTTTTGTGTGTGTTTATGTTTAATTTAATTTTTTATTTTTCATGATCTACTTTTAGTATTTCTTGTTCACTCCTGCTTTAGATAAATAATTAATCTTAACAAGTACTATCTATCTAAATAAATATTATTTATTATTCCTTTTTAGTATTAAAGGAAGAACTCTTCAGTGTAAAGCTTAGTTTCTCCTCTTTGAGTTCACCTGCTTGTGGTCAATGTGTTTATTAGAAATCTAGAGTTTAGACTGGTTGCCAGGCAACTGCTGTTTATCCACATGGCCAAGTGGAGTAGGATGAGGACTGTTCCATTCTTAGGACTTTTAAGTTCCTGTATATCTGTTTTCCGGTTAAAAGTTACCTCTTAAATAGTGATTTTAATATTCTTTGAAGGTCTGTAGTTAATACCTGTGCTGAAAAGCTGTTGTCAGTAGTTAAATGTGCATATGTATTATTGAGTTTTTAAAAATCAGCCTTTTTGAGTCGTAGGTTACATACAGTAAAATTCAGTGTTAAGTGTACACTTTGATGAATTTTGCTAAATTTATACAGTAGTGCAACACACACTGCAATCATGACATAGAACATTTCTGTCACTCCTAAAAGTTCCCTCATTCCCCCATACATCGGTCTTCTTCCCTCAGCCCTGGCAACCACTAATCTGCTGTTACTATAATTTTGCTTTTCTAGAATTTCGTATAAGTAGAATCATAAATACATAGTCCTCTGCGCCTGGTTACTTTCACATAGCATGGTACTATAGAGGTTCATCTGCGTTGTTGTGTGTATCGTGTTTGTTCCTATTTGTTGTTGAGCAGTATTCCGCTGTCTGGACATTACCACGGTTTATCTGTTTACCAATTGATGGGCATTTGGGTTGTTTCTAGTGTTTGGCTGTTGCGAATACAGCTGCTGTCAGCATTTGAGTGCGTGTCTTTGTGGTGTGTTTCATTTTTCTTGGGCAATAACCTGGGAGTGGGATTGCTGGGTCATATGGTAAGTGTTTGTTTAACTTTATAAAAACTGCCAAACTGTTTTCCAAAGTGGTGACTATTTGTATTGTTAAGTTAAATTTCTTTCATTACTTATGACAGATATTTATTATTTCATTGTATATTATAAATTTGGAGAGCATTTTCAGCTTTCAGTGTTACGTGAAGGTATTTTTAAATACATTTTTTAATTTGTCTAGTATATTTATATTATTTTTCCTACTTTGTTTTTTTGGGGTGGGAAATCACTAAAACCTTTGGGAGTTTTACTTGATTAATCTCTAAAATCTGCTCTCACAAGATTATTGTGAGAATTAAATAAGATAATGTGTGTGGATGTGTTTTGACCATTCTAACACAAACGTACACTGTTGCCATCACCACTGTTTATCAAGGATGTAGGGTGGTTCTTGAGTCTATTGATTCAATTGAGTCTCGTCTGAAATACCATAATAGAAGGTTGGTATATAGTGCATGGGATTTAGAAAAAAGAAGAAATGAAGAAGAATTTCTCAAGTGTTTTCCTGCATTGGTGAGGAAGGGGGACTCTAATGAAATGTGTATGTGTCTCTGTGTACGTGTGTATATTTATTTTGGGAAGTAATAGCCATATAAACATAAGAATTTGAATAGTACACAAAGGCATAAATAGAGAAGTAAAAAATCTTTCTACCTCCTACCTTTTCCAACTAATTTCTCTCCTCAGAGGTAACCATTTTAGACCTTTTCTATTTTTAATTCTGATTTTTATCCCAATTTTGTATGTAATATGCTAAACTTTATTTTTCACTATTCTTAAGTAATCTAGTATATCCCCTTCGTAAAAAGTGAGGATTTTGACTTTTAATACCTATTCTCTTTCTTCCCTTTTTTTTTTTGGTCTTTCTGGTTAAACTTCTTAGTCTTGTACCATTAACTCTAGAAAGCATTAAACATCTTCTCTAAACTCGCCACTTTCTAAGTTGAGAAAAATTAGTACCCCTCACAATCTTGACCTTGAATTTCTCACATTCCCTTCCCCATTTATGTCAGCTGTAACGTTTATTTTGTATTGTCAAGGGTTGTAATAGTTACATTTGTTGATTCTGCAGTAATCAGTATGATGAGTATGTAAATAATACTCACTGCTGAACGAAGTCGTATGATGGGATCCATAGAGAACAAATGGGTTTTTATACTGTACTGGTACTCAAGATCATGCCTTGCTTTAGTATGGCTTCTAGTTTGGGCTGTAACTGTTTTCCCTAGATTTTCTAATTGCCATGTTTTCCTCCTCTTGGTAGAAGAGTGTATGCCTTCTTCATATCACTGGTTATCCAGCTTTTTAATCATACTATTTGTTGAAATTCTAATATGAACTGACTTTTTTCTGGGTGTGATGCTCAGCTAATATCATGTTATTTAATTGCATTCTTGGACAAGTTCTGTGCTGTCTTAGATCTCATGTCTTTGTTCTTTTTACTTTAGATTTTACAGTTTTCTAGAGCATTTCCTGAAGTAATTTTTCAGAAAGAATGTGTGTGTGTGCTTGTCAGCACAATGTTTGAAAATGTCCTTTTCACCTTCGCACTAGGTGCACACCTTGGCTGGGTATAGAATTCAGGTTTAAAATCGTTTTCCTTTACCGTTTTGAAGGTTGCGTTCCGTTTCCTTGAGTACCCGGTGTTACTGATAAGAGGTGTGGTGCTAATATGAATAATTTCTTTGTAGCTTGTCTGTTTTTGTTCTCTGGAAGTGTTCTGTGCTGATGCGTCTTTGCTCTTGGCATGACGAAATTTCAGGAGGATGAGTGAGGGTCCTTTTTCATTCATCCCGCAAAGCGTTTGGTGGGCCCTTTGAATCTGCACCCTTCTGTCTTTCTTCAGTTCTGGGAAGTCTTCTGTATTTCTTTCATTATTTCTTTCCTTTTATGTTTTCTGTATCCTTCTATTTTTTTTTCTTAGAGCTTCTGTATCAGTGCTCTCTTTTAAAATTTTTCTGTCCTTTTCCATGTCTTTGTTTTTCTCTCTGTTCTGCAAGATTTCCTTGACTCTTTCTCCAGCCCTTTATTGAATTATTTATTTCAGCTATTACTTTATATTTCTGGAAATTCTTTCTAGTTCATAGCCACCTGCTCTTATTTTACAGGTATAATACAATCTCTAATCTTAGGTAACTGAATAGATTTTATTTTTAAGCTTTGTCTCCTCTTTGAATAACTCTTTCAGTTTGTTTATTTTGATTCTATTTTGGTGGTGGTAGTTTTCTTCAGGTGTCTGGCAATCCCTGTTTGTGTATATTTGTGAATGAAAGACTGGTGTTCCTGGTAGTGTCTTTCATCTATTTTGACAATTTATGTATTTTTCTTATTCTTAGGACAAGTTAGATTCCCTGAATGAGGGTTTGTGATGGTAGTGTTTAACTGGGCTCTTGAAAGCCTTAGTTGAAATATTAGGGGAAACCAAATGGGCATTTTTTTCCTCCAACATTCTTAATTTATTCCTTTAGAGATTTTCAGTATTATTTTAATAATAATTTTGTGTTTTAGTCAAGTAGATTTCATTAGGTAGTCTGTTGTTGTTTGGCTGTATTTTGGTTCAAAGAATTCTAAAAGAGCATTATTATTTACTGTCTGTTTACCCTGGGCAGATTATTATCACCTAAATTTTGATGTACTCGTTTGAAAATAAATATGATTATATCTGCCTTCTTTACCTCATAGTGTGTTTGTAATCATTACAAGGTAATGTGTATAGAGGAGTGGTTTTGTTTTTTAAAGATTTTATTTTTTTCCTTTTTCTCCCCAAAGCCCCCTGGTACATAGTTGTGTATATTCTTAGTTGTGGGTCTTTCTAGTTGTGGCATGTGGGATGCTGCCTCAGCATGGCTTGATGAGCAATGCTTTGTCCATGCCCAGGGTTTCAACCGGCAAAACCCTGGGCTGCCGCAGTGGAGTGTGTGAACTTAACTACTCGGCCACGGGGCTGGCCCCCTAGAGGAGTGTTTTTAAACTAGTAAACTATTAATAAAAGGTATTGATATAAAAAAGTTATAATAGAGTCCTTCCTTTCAGTATCAGTTCTTTTTCTCAAACCTGTATTTATGAATCAGTTCTTGTTAGCTCCTATCAAGATAGAATCTTGGGCCGGCCTGGTAGTGTAGTGGTTGAGTTCGCCAGTTTGGATCTCAGGCGCAGGCCTACATACTACTCGTCAAGCCATGCTGTGGCAGGCATCCCACATATAAAACAGAGGAAGATGGGCACAGATGTTAGCTCAGTGACAGTCTTCCTCAGCAAAAAGAGGAGGATTCGTAACAGATGTTAGTTCAGGGCCAATCTCCCCCCCCCAAAAATGATATAATCTCATTTTATTTGTACTTTTAATGTAAGTTGCTCTTAAGTGAATAGCTCCCTGGGAAACGAAAAAATAGACTTAAAGATAATTAATGATTGTGTAGGATAAGTGTTTCTTAACTTTGGTTGTTAGAGATATATCAGTAGTGAAACCTC